GTTAGAACTCAATGATTATCCTAATTATATTTTAGATTTTTTATATTTAAAATGAGATGTTTATCCTGTATTTGATTGTATTTATCTGCAGTTAGTTACACGAATTCAGATATGGGATGAATTCGGATAGGGATGAACGGGTTTAAGAGTTTTTAAGATTTTAAGAGTTTTAGCCAAATGTTTTATAACATAGTATATATATATATATATATATAGAGAGAGAGAGAGAGAGAGAGAGAGAGAGAGAGAGAAAGAGAGAGAGAGAGAGAGAGAAAGGTTCAAACGAGAACGCTGACTATTTAAGAATATAAGAAAAGATCGTCAATATACAAAATCATATGTGATTTTACATTAATGTCAAAAAATGGAATCGTGCGACTTTTGTCGTGACTTAAGTTGCGGGTGAAGCTACGTTGAATCATGTATGCTTTTGTAACTTGTTTGAAACTGCCTCCATATATTTTATATATATATATTATATATATATATATATATATATATATATATAGGCACGTTCAAATGAAAACCGTGCAATTCTTAGAAACCGTGTAAACTAATTTTGACCAATAGGAAAATTTCGTTTATTTATAATTAAATTTAATCATTAAGGGTATACTGGTCATTTGCATTGTTTTCTATTAAATATAAAAATTATTAATAAATCTTAATTAAGGTAACATAATAAAGAAAAATTTATAATGGTAACATTTAAATATTTAATTAAATTATAATATTAAAAATTGGATTTTCTTATATTGTGTCTCAGTTTATTACTGTCAAGATTCATGAAAATCGTAAGTTATTAGATTAATAAATCCATGAAATCAATAATAGAATTAAAAAAATTCATAAAACCGGTTTTCATACATGATGAAATTGGTGCATGGAGTAAGTGAAAATGATTATGAAATAGATGCATGTAAAAATGGGTGCATGATGAAATAAGTGCAGCATGAAATGGGTGCATGATGATATGGGTGCGTGAAGAAAGTGAAACCATTTCAAAAAAGATAAGAAAAGCCCGTGTAATTAGCGAAAAGTGAAACAATTTCATCATCAATAGCGTGAAATGACAAATGACTTCTCAAACTATGCTGGCCGATGAAATAGGTGATTGAAGAAAATGAAACCATTTCATGGTTTCTAAGAAAATTTTGTGTAATTAGTAAACAATGAAACAATTTCATTATCAAAATGAAACGAATCCATCTATCATTAACATAAAAATGACAAAATCTGAATAAGTAGTCCATTTTAATTAAATACTTCATCCCATCTTTCAAAAATCAACACTGATTTGGGAATATCAAATTTATCATAACGTTAAACTTATTAAATATAATATGACTTTAGACCCTTTTTAAAACACAAAGTATGAAAAAAAAACATGATGCATTGAGTATTAAAAGTACTCAAAGTTAGCCCAACCATTTTTGGGCCTTTGGAATTCTAAAATTAGCTTTTTGAAACTAAAGGTGAGGAGCCCCATGTCAACAAATATTCAACCGGTGCATTATCCATTAGTATCAATGGCAAAGTCTACCATCAGTATTGGGGGATATCAGTTTAAAATTCAAGGAATAACCAAATGAGGCCAATGATAGCATTTATAATCCATAATCACTGAAGCAAAAGTCGGCGCTGTAACATTCGTCAAATGAAATCAACGACAACAACTTTTCATGAATAGTACAAGGAATCGAGAAACACAAGTAACAATCTATGATTTCCTTTTCATGCGAATTGCAACACGTTCTCATTGGACACCATTTTGAACTCTGGCATCAAAGCCATGATATGGAACTCACGAAGCAAAGCATGAATTATGTGATAGGGATGCATGTGGATTAGCTTTAATATCATTTGCAATCAACGTCTGCTGCTGCATGCTCGTTATCTGGTTTTTTGCACACACCAGTACTCAAAAGAGTCAACATTGCAAGTCAATACCTTCTCAAAGGAGAACAAAATAAGTAAAAAAAAATGCATTAAAAATACAAAGGGATGAATGGTATAAAGTCTAAAGCACTCTACTTTTTACTGCAATTGTAATACGGTGAAAGATTTAGAATAACATACTTCTCTTTCTCCCCCGTCTTCCAAACATATAAACAACAAGCACTCTGGTATGAATCTCTCACTTCTTCAACACCATCCTTCTCATTTAACTATGTTATGCTCATTCATCAGGCTCTTGTCTTGTTTTTACAAAGTGATTGTATCAAGCAACTTACGGTTTTGAAGGAATCAATAAGACTCACATCAAGGCTAAAAATATGAATTTACAGATGACACGAAGAATGCACCTCTAATTTCCCTTAGAATCATGTTAGCAACTAAGATTCTAATTAATTACCAAGGTAAAACCGATTTGGAGCATTATAACCGGTTACTTCCAAGACCACTAAAAAACAAAAACAATCCACACACCATGTTGGGAATTAGCGGTAACTATCTGTGTATTCAACAACGTTGCTATAAGTATATTCATACATGAGTATACATCACATGAGATCAATGCAAAAGGTAGGTATTTACTCTAGTAACTTTTTTTTTTAACTTCTCAAAATGGCTTACACATGACATGTCTTCGTTACCGGTGCAAAAGGGGTGTTTTGGATGAGTTTGTAACTCTACTTCTAATGGTTTGACTATTTGAAAGTCAAAATTACTAGATGTGTTTTAGATGAGTTTGACTCATTCAATTTTCAAAGTGAAACCATGAGTTACAATAAAAAAAAGATGTTTTTGATGAGTTTGAAATGATAAGTGTATTTTTTAGATTCTGATAGTATAATAACTGTAAAAATGAGCTTTCCGAGGATCTCATAAGGATTCAAAAAATTGAATAAATTAAGAACAAGGAAAAATAAAATATTTAAAAGCCTATGGTGATCCTTCGGTAATACCCAATGGTAATCCTTCGATAACTTTTAGCACCACTGAAGGAATTCTGACGGAGATTCTTGTTGTCAGCAAAACTCATATGGAATATTTTGCTTTCCGCAATCCATGCGTGATCCTTCGCAAACCACCAAAGGAATACTGTTATCGATGGTGATTGTCAGAAAAAAATACATGTATAGTAATATTCATGATAAAAATAAAACCATATTTAATTAAGTTCCTTAATCATAACTTAATAGGATTAGAGACCATATTTGTAATTTTCTTAGAAAAAATTTAATTTATTCCAAATAATCTAATAGTTTTGACAGAGGATAATAAATTAATTCGATTTTAATATTCAAAAATAATTAGTCAGAATCTAATTTATATTAGGGTTTGATTTCCCACTACTAGAAAACAAGGTATCGACGACGAACATCAGTGAGAGAAAAAATCTGCGAGAATTGGCCAAAAACAGAATCTTTCGTTGATCTCTCGCTGATCTGCGAGGGATCAACGAAGGATTGGCCTCGCTGATCTGCGAGGGATCAACAAGGTAATGGCCAAAACCAGAATCCCTCGCTGATCTTATAATTTTTATTCCTAATTTTTAAATTACACATTATTCTTATAATTTTATAGATTGATGATTTCTAGGAGAAGAACAAAACATAGATGAGACTACTAAAAGAAATGGGTATTATCGACGGATTTTTCCAATGGAATTTCTGTAATTAAAGTCAAGGACGGCTTTGACATATAAATATTCGACAACCATTTGATAACGAAACTCTAATTTTTCCTTTATTACTCGTATTTTTTTATCATCACACGATATATATGACGTGGTTTCATCAACCATCCGTCGATTAATGTTTGTGAATAGTAATTGAAGACATGAAATCAGAAATGGCGTCGAACAACTCATTGGCTTTCAATTCGTCATACAATTCGATTCCATGATAACCTTCTCCAAGGAAACACTCATTCTCCACACCCTTCAACTCCAACATCTTTGCGAACCCCATTTGACGATCGATCAACAAATCCCCATAACAACCCGTCACCATCACCCGCCAACCCACCTTCTTCATCCCACCCATCACATCATCTAGGCCACCACCCGCCATTGGGTTGCAATACTCATGCTCCCGACTTGAACCAACAGGCAGACTTAAATCCCACATTGCATCGCATCTTGATAAAGTCAGCATCCCCCCGGTGTCAGCCAAACGGATCTCCGCCCCTGTCCGCTCCACTCCTCCGATGAACAGATGGTGCAAGATCACCCCTTTGATTTTCAAGGGCTCAAGATCGTGAAGTTGTCGGGATGCACGAACTCCTACATGATAGGCTAAGTTTGCACCGGCACTGCTTCCCATTAGATAACAATCGGAAAAGTCAGCGAAGTCGGTCAACCATGGATCTTTTGATGACTTGATCCAATGCAAAGCCTCCATCCCGTCATCGTAGGCTGCTGGGAGGCGATGTTCGGGTGCCAGGCGGTAGTCCACTGACACCACCACGGCGGCGAGGTGCGCTGCTAGATGGTTGCAGAAATTGTGTATGGGGGTTGTTGCTGCACTAAATAGAACAAAGCCACCGCCGTGGTGGTAAACGACGAGAGGAAGCTTTCCGACGGAAGTAATTAGGGTTTCTTTTGGGAGATAAATTCGAACGCCGGTTTTGCACAAATTGTCGTTGATGGCTACATCTTTACTGAGCACAGGGTTGTTGGAATCTTGATCCGGTGTGGAAGGGGAGCATGGGAAGGATATGAAACGAGTGCATGAACCGTCGGGATTGAGTACTATGAAGGGTTGGTTGTCACCGGCCGGAGATTGATGATCGGACATGATTGGAGATGAATGGTTGGATATGGTATATGGGTAAACTTGAATATACATACATACATACATATATAAATGATTTTTTTTAATTTAATCATTTTTTAATTATATTATGTAAAATATGGATTTTGTCTGAGAATCTTGACTTATTCTATCGTCTTATTAGGAACATATTTTTGGTTTGTTTCAGATGTTACGTTCAGCCTCCGTAATCGAATTATTGAAATATATTTATCAAAATAAAACAGATTTTTCTCGACGTATGGTCTCTTTTAACCACTCGAGCTTGTTTCAGGCCTCGAAACGATGATTTTACGTGTTGTCAACAATTTTCCGTTCTCAATGTTTGTTTGAGACTTGTTTCATTTTCAACCAAAATCTAATTGGGAAATTCCTTTTGTTTTTAGTCTCAATATTGGAAAATTAGTTAGTCTTTGTTTTTAGGATGTTTAAAGAAAGAATTACCTTCTCCAAAACCTCAAATTTATTTTGAAATTCAAGGGTTGTAAGGGCCTGTTTGTTAGCATTTAATGAGTTATTGAAGCTTACACGTTATTCGGTCAGCTATACATGATCGTTTGACGATGGCAGCGCAGTCCAATGGTTTTGGATGCCTTGGGCGGAGAACCAAAAATATGTTCCTGATCTAATAAACAAAATCACACAAACTTTTAAAGGGTTTGGAACCTAGTCAACAAAGCATCATTGTTCACAAACACATTAGATAAGTAAATACTAAATATGAAGGAAAACACATTGGATAAGGAAAACATCTAAGAGCAAAATTAGATCGAAATCATGGAATTTGCACTGCTCACTTGAGAGCAAAATCATAGGCACTATGAGCGACGATGGTGGCTGGGCAACAAGGCGAAGGAGAACAGAGCGTTGAGCCGGGAGGGAAGGACGGGAGGTTGAAGCGAAGAGGAGAAGGGAACTAGGGATGAGCCAATTAGGAAAGACGAGGTCAAGGTGGAGACTGGAGGCCTGGAGCGGTGGAGACGATTAGGGAAGACGAGATTGGGCTATGATGATGCCCCTTAGGCTGATGATGCTAGGCGAAGGCCCATGTCGCCCATGCCTAGGGCCAGCCCTGGGTGGTGACTTAATGATATAGGAACTGACATATTCTATAAGCTTTTAGGGGAGCTTTATATAGAAGACAAAGTTTTTTCAAATCCTTTCTAATTAAAAACACGTCCATTCCATATATGAAAAAACTCCCTCAAACAAAAACCCTTCTAATCTTTACAAACAAATTAATTTACACAGACAGTTTTATCCATACAAAACTTAATATAAAATCAATCAAACGGGCTATAAGTGTTCTTGTTAGTGACCTGGGGTAGTTTTCCCCTATATAGACACCCAAAGTATTACAATTCTTATTAGTTCATTATTATTAATCAAAAAAGTAAGAGTTCTTCTCTCTTTTTCAAACTCTATTAAACTCATTTTCTCTCTAACTTTATGTTCTTGAAACTTTTTTTTACGAAGAATAGAAAAGAAAGGGGAGGGAAAGTTGAGGAATGTACAAAGAAGATCGTGTTGTTGAAACTCTTTTAGGAGAGAAATGATAGAAAACAGAAGAAAAATAATGATAATTAGTGGTGTTCGCGGTCCGGTTTGGACGGTTTAACTCTTCAGACCACAAACCAAACCGTAATGGCGCAAACCGAGCGGTTTGACATCAAGTGCCCAGACCGGTTTAGGCGATTTGAGTCTTTAATGGACTTTAAATATAAACTTAAAAAAAACATATATAATTTAGAAATTTAGATTAAATATCCATTTTAACAAAACAAAATATCCTGACAAATAAATGTAATAATTAAACAGCTCTTTAGTCCAAAATTCAACCAATCCAAAGTTCAAACAAATAAATATATAATAAATATTAGAAAACAAAACAAATTAACAAAGTTACAACTCCACTATGAGTATTAAGTAACAAAATCCACGACTTCACAACCATCAATTCTTGAGTCTTGAGTTATTGACCAAACAAAATAGAAACCAAATCTTAGTGTTTAACAAAAGTCAAAACAGTAATATATAAAGTGCGAACAAAGTTCACAGCTTCACAATCCATAAAGATTCAATCTTTATCAAGCAGGAATGAGGAATCTGTAAAAAAAAGTGACATCATATAAATTAGAAGGATAAACGATTGTATGAAATGTGTGAAAGAGGTAGAAAACTAATCAAAGCTTACGTTATAGCAATCCAACAACTTTCTAATCAAAACTCCCAACTTCAGTCTTCAGATGGGCTTGGTGGATTTATCTACAAAATTCAAAAATAAATCAGATAAACAACATAAATGAAAATAACATAATCTAAAATTGAAGTAATGTAAAATTAATTTAAATTGATTACCCGGTTTCATATTTTCGTAAATATCCATCTCTTCCAAAATATAAGCCAAATCTAATGGCAAATTCGTGGATCTCAACCAATTTTGACCATATATCAAAATTTCAACCATGGAAGGACTCAATGAACTCCGAAAACAATCAAAAATTGTCCCTCCGGTGCTAAAAGCGGACTCCGAAGCCACTGTTGATACTTGGATAGCAAGAACATCTCGAGCCAATGCCGACAAAATAGTATACTTTGATGACGCCACTTTCCACCATTCTAAAATTTTGAAGTTCTTATTTTTCCTATCTTCATGTGTTCACCTAGGTATCTTTCAAGCTCATTTTGCATGTCCAAAGAGTTATCTTCATTACATTCTTTAATCATCAATCTCATATTCAAACGTCCTAACCGAATCTTCATCATCGAAGTCTACTATTGGCACATGATCTTGTGTTTGATTAACACTATCTGCTTGATGCTCTACTTTAAGCTCACTAGTATAATGAACTACTATCCTTGAAAGACAACTTTTGATGGAATCTGTGATAATGGTAATTTCTTCCTCACTATAAAGTTGTCTCAAATAAAATGTAAAGTATTTTAATTTGTATGTCGGATCAAGTACAATAGCCACATAAAGAATCACACTTTGTTTGTTTGTAGTCCCCCAACAATTATAAAATTTCTTTTTCATCCTTACAGTCATTTTCTTCAAGTTTTCTTTATCACTTGAACACCATTTGTTAACTAACCCATGAACTAGAGACAACTCGTCAAATTAAACATTTGAAGTAACATGCAAAGAAACACTAAACTTTAAAGTGGCATCATAAAGAATCTTCAAACACTTACAAAACGTGGCACATTGCTCCCAATCCTTAGACGTCGATAGCCCTATTGAATGAAGGAATCATCCTCTTCTTCTAATAACTTAAAAGCCTTCTCATATTTTAAAGCATGATCTAACATCAAATATGTGGAGTTTCATCTAGTAGGCACGTCCAACAAACAAGTGCTCTATCTTCTTTACATGTATTTTTTGCACAACTTTTAAATCTTGCTAACGTAGAGGAGGAAGATCTAACATACTAAACTGCATTACGAAAAGCATCTACAAAATAGTCCATTTCTTTCAATCCATCACCCACAATTAAGTTTAATATATTGGCTGAACACCTAACATGCAAGAATTCACCGTCACAAACGGCACTCTTCCAAATTTGCAATCTTTTCTTGATATGTTGAACAACCCCATTGTTAGAAGAAACATTATCGACAATGATAGTGAACACCCTCTCAATACCCTAATTTTTAAACACGACTCAATAGCTTTTCCTATTGTCTCTCCTTTGTGGTTGGACACTTGATAAAAGTAAGATTATTGGCCCTTGCCATGTTCATCCGGTGAGAAAAATTACCCAGTAAGTATTTACACCTTGATTGATAATGAAATGAGGTTTTAGCTCAACAATATAGATTATGTCTTCAATACTCATAGAATATAATTTTCCACATTTGCCGTTTAAAAAAAAGGTGTCCTTGTGAAATCCAAAACCCTAAAAGATCTAGCATTCCTCGAATTTTGACCTTCATGGTTCCTTCCGTTTTTCCCATTTGCAAATTTTTACTCGTCACCTTCTTGTTGCGTCCCTCCTTTGTTTATGTAGATCGAGATGCTACAATCCATCGCTTTCAAGGTGTTTATTTTAGTCTCCCACTTCGTTGTAAAACTTAGTTGGATTTGGTTATGTGCACGTAAGACTCATTTTTGGCCTCACGGTCCCATGCTGAAAATGGCACTCTTCTAAGGGTGTTTGACAATCTATATAACGGTGTTCATGACATATGCATCAATGTAAATTTTGATCCAACCTACCAAAAAGGTAAAAATTCAATTAAATGTTGATGAAGGATAATAAAATATTCGAAGAAAAAAAATAAGTGAGTAAAGCAAAGAGAAGGTATATTCTTGATAAAAAAAAATCTTAGAATTTAAGGACTTCTACGTCTTTTTTATAAAATAAAAAAAGTAATAGTGGTGATAAATATAAATACTTTATTATATTTAATCATATGTTGTCGTTTTTTTAAAACATGATTATAATTTTAAAAAAGATCATATTATTTGGTTTTTAATATGAAGATTATTTAAATTATCTATTTTCATAATAATATAAATATTTGATGATTTAATTTTATTCAATAATTATTGATACATTTTGTATATCTATTGTTTCTATTTTAAAAAAAAATTACAGTGATGAGCTTGGATTATCCTGAATCTTCCACTACGTTGGTGATTGTTGATTTATCAGTT